TTGATCTTAGCTTGCACATCCTTTTACAGCAGAATATCGGATTAGGTTGAAGTTATCGCCATTTTGATCTTAGCTTGCACATCCTTTTACAGCAGAATATCGGATTAGGTTGAAGTTATCGCCATTTTGATCTTAGCTTGCACATCCTTTTACAGCAGAATATCGGATTAGGTTGAAGTTATCGCCCTTTTGATTTTAGCTTGTACATCCTTATACAGCAGAATATCGGATTAGGTTGAAGTTATCGCCATTTTGATCTTAGCTTGTACATCCTTTTACAGCAGAATATCGGATTAGGTTGAAGTTATTCTTTTCATACTAGGTTAGAATAATAAATCATATGTTACTTACCTTAGTTTATCCATTAAACAAAATGTCTTAATGAGGATCTGACAATACAAATTAAGACACACCTAAAACGTATAGATCTGGCAAGTAAGAGACTTCTCATTGGAAAACTAACAGGAATCCATATTTTGTGGATATTAAGGATGGTCTCTTAATTTGTGAAGAAACGTAGCAAATATCATTGTTTAGGTAAAAAGTAAGCGGGAAGTTTAAGATAACTTCACTAATTCATTAGAATTGTATTTTGAAGCCTCGAGTATAGTTTGCCTTTTAAAACTACACGTATCATTAATAACAAGTCACAATGAATTATACAGTAATGCCTAACTAGACTGGTGGCCAAACTAGAAACTGGTTATGAAAGGGAAATTCTTAAGTTAAAGTTTCAGCTCTTATCACATTATCCAGTTGCTTCCTATCCAACACAAACACATAGTTTGAGCTCAGAAAACTAGACGCTTATATTATGTAAAATGGTGTTTAGTTGCAAAATACAGTTTTAGTCAGAGGTATATTTTCAGCGTTAATTTCAATTAAAACGTTAAGAAAACCACGTGACTGGACAAATTAGAACATTGAACAATCTCACCTTGTTAATGCTTAATTTTATCTGGTATTAATCAAATGATGGATGTAATACACGCACTTATACAATGTAAAACATGTTTAAATCAACACCGTGGCGCTTAATGTCCAGGATTTTATAATGGAGTAATACGTCAAGCAAGTAAATTCAGTGGCAAAGAAAACTTACCAGATGGTTTCTGTACTGTAGGGATGTATGTGGCACCGTAAGCATCAGTGGGATACACACGCCCAAGGAAATCCCAGGCTACAAGAAATACATCAGCATTACAGTCACGATTTAGGTATAAAATGTTTTCACACGCGTAATTAAAATGACGTGTAATTAAGGTTATTTTTACACATGCCAAGTGACTTCAGTACTATACTGTATAGAGTTTCTTCGTGTAATTATAGTTTTCTGGTTATTTTATACATTTGCTTGCACAAACAATAGATTTATTTCTAATAATGCAGTAGATTCATTGCATAACACTAATATTAAGAAGTTAAATATATAATATTTCATAACCTAACTCAAGTACGCTATTAAGTTGGTCTTAGCTTTTAATAATAAAGATATTCCCAGTTTGTGGTTTTATTATGAATCGAACTTACGAGAAGTTTTAGTTTTAACTGTTGGGCTGAACATTCCATCTCCTAAACTATTACGGGAAAGGATTCGAAACTCGTACTCTGAACTAGGTTGAAGGTTGTAGATGGTGAATGTGGTGGTTTCATCTGGTTCCACTCGCATGGTTCTCCAAGGATTATCAGCTTGCTCCACCAGACGATACCTGCAAGTTTAATTCTCTTAGCTTTATCAAAAGTATTTGTGTTTCTTGAAACAAAATAAAACAACAACAAAATGTTTCAAAATTATTGCTTACAAGCCGAATGCTGACGAAGATTGGACTCCAACAGATCTAAAATCGTTGATAAAAATCCGATGAACTGCATGTTTTTTGTTTCAGATTCTTCTTAATTTGTTCATTTCGGATTCCATATCAGATGTGTGTAAAAATTGCACTTCAGCGCTATATTGTTTTTCCCACAAGTTACTGCTTAGAACACGTCAGCTGAACGGGACGATAAGAGACAAAACTTTTCCGAAACCCTTTTAATATATTCAGTATAACACTATGAAACATCGGAAACTAATAGCAGGGGCGTAGGCAGAAGTCTATAAAAGGGAGGGTGCTATTTTATGAAGAAAAATAATATGAGTGGCGAAGACATGCTGATGGTACAAGGGCCTGTCTCCTCTAAAATATTTATAATTATCACCGAAAGGTGTACATTGAGATGGTAGCTGAGGCTTTTAAACATATTTTTATATATGTTTAATGTATATGGGTGAAATGTGGGGAATGCGATTTCAAACCCCCTGCCTACTTGCATGAATAGTCCTTATATTTGCGATAAATTTCCCCCTAAACTGCAGATGTTGTTTTCTCCATATTTTTGTCACTTTGTCCATTTCAGATAATAAAATATGTGTGTAAAATTTACATTTCAGATTTATGTTTTTCCTCCCACAAGTCACTATCAAAGGAGTTTTTCGTTCAACAGCATAATTCCTCATTTTAGCTGGACGATGAGAGACAGAAGTTTTCTGAAAAGCTATTTAAATACGCAGCATAAGACTTAAAAAGTTACAGTTTGAACTCTGATAGCTGAAAATTGTTGTAAACCAACGGAACAAACATTTATGGTAAAAACCATGTACTCTGAATATGCTGGTTTTTCACATTCCTTTTAATTAACTTGTACATTTCTGATTCGAAATTCAACGACAGAAGGTTTTATCCTATTCGTCACGCTTACACAACATAATATCGTGACGATAACGACAATGAATTTATGATAGTATTGATTATGCAGCGAAACAAGTTTTGAACTAAATATACAGGACATTTATTCTGTCCTCTTAGAATCTCTGGACGGCTGGTCGTCATCGGAACAACTTCCTTACGTTCCTGTTTCATAAAATCCATTTTTAAAAGCAACAATAAAAAAAACACATCATGATCCTTTACATAATGACAAAGGTTTCTCCCATCCAAGGCCCGGCATGGCCAGGTGGTTAGGGCGCTCGACTCGCAATCTGCGGGTCGCGAGTTCGAATCTCCGTCCCACCAAACATGCTCGCCCTTTCAGCTGTGGGGGCGTTATAACGTGACGATCAATCCCACTATTCGTTGGTAAAAGAGTAGCCCAAGAGTTGGCGGTGGGTGGTGATGACTAGCTACCTTCCCTCTAGTCTTACACTGCTAAATTTGGGAAGGCTAGCTCAGATAGCCCTCGTGTAGCTTTGCGCGAAATCCATAACAAACAAATTCTCCCATCCAAATCATAATGTCTGTTTACAACCAAATACTAATTTTAAACAAACTCATACTAATACCATCTGTGAACCGCTGGTTAATAACTCCAACAATAGATTCTAAAATAGATCCTACTTCTGACTCCACTAACTTAGTCACTTCTGCATTTGATCGACCCAAATCCAAGAACACTTCCAATGTCGTCAATGGGTCCTCTGAAACATTAACTGAAGCTCAACACAAAGTTCTCAGTTAATGTTTTTCTCCTAACCCTAAAAACATAGATAGCTTTAAAGTCATTTCCGACCTCCAAGAATTTGCACGTAGATTAAGACTTTTTCAAATCAAACCACTGAAAGAAATAATTTCGACTCATAGTTTAAAGAAAAAAATTTCTGGTCACCCTCAGCTAACAGGGAATTACATCTATAGAGTTTTATTACTGCAATTGGAAATGAAGTAACTCAAGCCGTTAACTCTGACTCAAAAGTACGAAACAATCTATCCTATAGATACAGTTCTAATTTCACTGAAACACGAAAATGAAATTATTATTAAACCAGCTGATAAGGGCGGTGCCATTGTCATTCAAGATTAGTTCGACTGCATCAACGAAGCTTACCAACAATTTGATGACACTAACCACTATAAACAGGTAAGTTTGGACTCCACACTGAAATTTGTTAAACTTATCAAAGATATACTATGTAGTTTACAGAAAAGCTAAAACATCAGTCGTGAAACATTACAGTTACTTTCATCTAAACACCAAGTTCCAGGTCGCTTTTATATGTTACCAAAAATACACGAACCCAACAATCCCGGTCGTCCTATTATTTCTAATTGCGATATGCCTACTCAAAATTTATCTGCTTATGTTGATCATCACATCAAAGATATCCCCCCACGTTTGGCATCGTACATTAAAGACACGAAACATTTTTGAACGTGATCTCTGACATTAACAACAACGAAAAAATTCCTCCAAACACTATTCTGTACAATGAATGTTTCTTCTCTCTACACAATCATTCCCACGACAAAGGCCTAAAAGGCCTACAATCTTCTCTGCTAAAACTAAACAAACCCACCGCTCAAATTATTACAGACATAGCTTAACTAGTACTTACACTTAACGGTTTTGAACTTATTAGTGAATTCTCTATAATCAAACAAAAGGCACAGCTATGGGCACCAAGATGACACCAAACTATGCCAACATTTTTATGGGAGACTTAAACACGAAACTATTGGAAAGTTGCACAGACAAACTAACGTTTTGGAGACGTCACATTGACGACATTTTTTTCATTTGGTAGGAGACGAAGATTAATTTCTATCCTTTTATAGACATGTTAACACCTCACACAGTTCTGTTACATTTACTCTAGATTACTCCACTACCCAAATAAGTTTCTTAGATGTAAATCTAACATTAAAAGATGGTGTTCTACGTATTGATTTGTGCAGAAAACCAACGGATAAACCACAATACGTACATAATCAAAGCTGTCACCAAACACAATATCACCTTCATTCAAGCACTTAGATTAAAGAAGATATGCTCTGATAGTAAGAACTATGACCATCACATTAATTCTTTGAAACAGACTATGACTGACAGAGGTTATAAACAAAGCACTATCACCGTCATCTCGACAGAGCTAACAATATACCACGTACATCTGCCTTCAAACAATTACCTAAAACCAATTCTTCCCGTGTTCCACTTAACCTATCACCCCATATTTAAGACACCTACCCCGGATACTAAAGAAACACTTTTACCTCCTTCAACTTAATGATCGACTAAAATCCATTTTTACGGAAGTTTCTGTCGTTTCTTTCAGAAAAAATAAAACTTTGCATGCCCATTTAGTTCACACTAAAGTCTAAGTTGACACCAGGTGGAAGTCATCCTTGTAATATCAAGCGATGCCAAACCTGTAACTTCATCCAGGAAACGGAAAATTTTCCCGATAAAGACGACCAAAAGCAGTTCAAAATCACTAAACGCATAACCCGCTTTATAAACAATGTTGTTTACTTAATCCAAAGTCGAAAATGCAACTTCCAATATATAGGTCAAACCAAAACAACTATACGGGAACGTTTTAATAACCACAAATCAACAATCAAAACAAAGAACTTCCGGTTGCAAAACACTTTAACATGTCTGGACAGTCTCTTGAAGACATTAAACTGACGGGTATAGAGACCAATTTTATATCTAACAGAAACAGGGAAACTAAAGAAGCTTACTGGATAGAACTGTTAAATATTGTAACACCAAATGACATCAATCTCGATCCCGGGATTGTTGACCTTCGCAAGTCTCTGAAAATATTTTCAAAACTAAGCTCATAATGAAGCTTACTTTACATTATTAGTATTATTCGTGCTTTAATTTCTCTATCTTGGTATTATTTCATTATATTGCGTCACATTCTTATTTTCTCTACTTTCCACCACTTATTGCCGTTGTTTTATTTTTCTATTATATATATTTTTTATCTTTATATAAATTAGTTAGCAATTCTTATAACTAATATCCCACTTAAGACTTTTATGTACTTTACAAACCTCTTTGGCACAAAATAAACCTGACACAAACAACTCTAGGTTATGATTGGCTAGTTTTCAAGGCCAACTCATATTGAACATCTGTTTACATCGACATCCGTACCTATATATTTCTTTACACTCATTAAACATAACCCTTTGTTTTCCATCTATGGTACTCTTTCTCGATACTTCATTCCACACGTCGAAGTGTCTCTCAGAGCTCGGTACCCTCGATACTTCATTCTACACGTCGGAATCTCTCAGAGCTCGGTACCCTCGATACTTCATTCTACACTTCGGAATCTCTCAAAGCTCGGCACCCTCGATACTTCATTCTACAAGTCGGAGTCTCTCAGAGCTCGGCACCTTCTCCTATGTTTTATACAGTTCCCTGCTCATCTTTACCAATATGCTGACAATACTGTTTTCATAGATATTTTTACAACCATGCTTACTGTTAACAAAGTCCTTCAAATTGTTCTAAACGCATTTCTTGCTTTGTCCCATAACTAACATCTTACACTTTATGCTGCCAAACCACGAGCCTTTCTCTTTCGTCCCAAATGTCATAAATTCTGTAGCCGTTGCAACCTTTTCCTTTTTGTGCTATTTCAAATTAATTCCCCATACATCTATGTGATATAGTAATTTGTTTGGGTGTCATTTTTTGATAATCTTCTCACATGGATGGCCCAAACGTCACACCTCCGACAAAACACTTCACTTGACGTTTCTATCCTCTCTCTCTGTTGTTTGACAAAACCCTCTTGAGGTTTAACTACCCATTACTTCTGTTTTCATCTGAGTCTGTCTGACGTATGGGCTTACAGTTAGTTTTTCTCTTTCAATGTATTGTGATCTATCCTCTCTCTTTGTTGTTTGACAAAACCCTCCTGAGGTTTAAA